CCCCATGTCTTACATCGTATAACATCCAATTTCCAAATTGGTTTTATCGGAAGATCGCTCCTGATGAGCTCCCAGTTTTTTGGTATACCTGATGAGGCCTTATTCTCAGGGTTCCCTGCTCCACAAGATCCAGGTATTACCTGATTTTTGATATTATCTCTGAAGTTTGCCATGTGTCAGGGCTTAGCATTAGTTAAGTTGATATTTTGTTTTGAGATTTTATTACTAAACATATTGGAAATTTAATCAAAAGATTTTTTGTGATTTTTAATAACAGAAATTTCTTGGCATTTTTCTTGTATTAAACCTTGTTTATATAAAATATTAGGAGTATTATTATTAGAAGTTGAGAATAACCCTTGATCTTGAAGTTTCTTTTTCTTAATGCTCTGAATTATTTTATTACTAATCTGTTCCTTATATGTTGAACCCAGGAATTTATCTATTTTCTTATCTTCTAATAATTTAATCTCTGTGCAAATAAGTGGTATGGAATATTTGTATAAACCAACTTCCAGTTAAAATAAAGACTCCTAATATATATCAGAATTTGGGGTGTTACCAGATATATCAGAATTTGAAATGTTTTCAGATATATTAAATACCAGAGCATTTTTACTTCAAAAGATCACCTCTTAAGATACATCATTAGAATTTTCTATTCAGTAAAGATGGCATTAATTGAAGATTGATTGGTATCTTTGTATAATTTATATATACTTGTTTCTTTATCATTTTGTGAATTCTTCTGTTCTAATTTTGAAACTTTGAATCTAAGCTCATTAATTTCAACATCTTATAATTTCGTATTTTTCTGCACTTTCTTTTGCAGATTGTTTTAATTCCACAATTATAGCCATAAGTCCTACTTCCTTAGCCAAGAATTCAATCTTCTCCTTTTTAAGTTCAGTATTTTCAGCTACAAGCTTGGAAATTTGGTTTAATAAATCAGTTTTTGGATTGTATATTTGCTATTTTTAATATAATACATATATACATTCAAATAGTAATACTGATACAGAAAAAAACATCAGCAGATTAAAAATTATGTGAGTGTGAAGAATCTTCACACTAATGTCAAGAAAATCTTTAATCATATGCAAGTTAACATATGGGGGGGAGTCAGTAGAAATGGGACAAATCATTTTTAGTGAATTTTTTTTAATTTTTAAATTACAAT